CCTCCAACTCTCATCACCAAGATCAATTTCCACATTTTTCAACTGATTTACAATATCTTAAAATTGACTCAAGTGCTCAGACATGCTACTCCTTTTCTTATATCTCAAATTTACAAGTCTCTTAACTAAAAATGCTTTATCTTGTGAGATCCTCCTCTCACAAAGATCTTGTAATTTCTTCCACAATATTTCAGCATTTGTTTCTTGAGCAACATGATATAAAACATTATCATCAATCCATTGTCGAACAAAACCAACCGTTTTCCTATTAATTCGCTCCCATTCTTTATCTTCCTTGTCTCATTTAGCTTCATCCCCATTGTTCATACGAATTTTTACAGTACAATATGTCTTCAATCCGAGGCTTCCAAATAGAATAGGTTGAGGCATTTAACTTAAACATGGTGCTGTTGGTTTCCTCCATCAACGCTAGCTTTGATACCACTTTGTTAGGGAAAGATGACAACAATTCACTGAGAACTTAAAATTATCCAGGATCAATATCTTTCCCAAAACTCAACCAACCAATATCAAATCAACCTCAACAGGAACTAGTTGCAATATTCCAACAATGTCAACCCCAAACCAGTAAATATAGTGCTGAAAATTAAAGACAAAGTAGAAAGCAACACCTAAAAATTTTAGGTAGAAAATCCAATGTGGAAAAAACCACAAGGCGACTTAAAAACTTCCACAAATCATGTGCTGGGCCTGTGAGGCGGACCTAGCCCATCACCCTGTGCACGTTAAATGAGATCCAACGTGTCCTTGAATTCAATTTTCTCTGCAAGTCTCCGCTTGCGGAACAAAAGAAGGGAAAACTCCAACTCAGTTGACTTGACTGACTTATGGTACGAGCAACGTAAATGACTTGTATAATCAAAGTCTTGCAATGGGGGCTCGCCCTGCACCATTCACATGTACATTTACTTGAATTGCGGGGGTAGACTTATGGTAGATACATAGCCAAAGTTCTAATTTGACACTACCCTATATCAGTGTCTTCTGTATATCTCTTCTTAGCCATCCAATCATCAAAACATGAATTCTTGCTTCACCATTCACCTCTCTCTCATCTTCTTCTTCTTCTTCAATTTTCTCAGCATTTGCACTCACACTACTGAAGCTGCACCAATTTATTTATGGCATTACTACCCAAACACCACCCTCTTCACTCCCAACTTCACCTACCAAACAAATCTCAACACCCTCCTCTCTTCCCCCTCCTCCGCCACGGCCACTAATGTCGACGGCTTCACCAATACCACCACCAACATAAACCAACTTGACTGCACCTATGGGCTATTCCTCTGCCGTGGTGACGTCCACGCCACCACATGTGGCAACTACATAGCGAATGCAAGCAAGGAAATACTCTGTGCATGCCCTAATGAGGAAGACTCCATCTCTTGGTAAGACGAGTGCATGTTGCATTACTCAAACTAATCAATTTTCTCCGTTGAACAAGAAAAGTCTCGCCTTCGTATCATGAAGGGAAAATTACACAAAAAAATCTTAAACCTATTGCACTTATGTCAATTCAATCATAAACCTTTCAATTTGATTAATTTAGTCCTAAATCTTTTGGTAATTTGGTGACAAGTCTCCCTCAATAGGGGCATCAATCAAGATGCGAAAAAGGTCATGCCTGGGGTCTGGTAACGTTATGCATGGCATAACTCACAAGATCATAAACATTCAATCAGTTCATTCCACGATAATTTTGTTAGATCAATTTGACTCAACTCAGTTCCATAAATTCCATTTCCGATGACTATTTAATTTAATTCACATAAAGCGACATTCGCATTCCAATAAATCGAGATAATATGAACAATCATTCATTTATCACACAATGATGATCAATATGACAAAAGGAAATGGATAATGCCACATGGCAATTTAAAGCACATTAACTTCACGCTCGTCAGGCATTAACTTTTCAATTAATTATAAAATCAACCAAACATCAAATTTGACAGATTTGATATCTCACTTATATAGTCATTTATCATAACTTTGAATGTCAAATTTTCGCATTTTAGACCATTCTACAACAATATATACTTAGCCAATTTGAATACCTTGGTTATTGAGGTGATTAATCAAACTTTAAACCAAGAATTTTCACTTACCAAACTTCCAAGCACAAACTGTAAACACCAAGGACAGCAAGCTAACCCCCAATTTGCCCCGCCCAAGCTAAAACATAGTTTTAAAAGACAACCTTTAGTACCTCTGAATTCCAAAAATGGCAAATAAATTTACACTAAGAGCTTGCAAAATTCGCCTCGAGTGCAAGAATATGCCATGAGCAACATTTTCATCTGGTTCACCGTCTTCATTACCTTTAACTAGAAAAAAAATTGGTGAAGATTTTGACAAAGTTCCAAACAAAAAGCATGGTTTCTCTCTTAAAAATAGGTCCTTGGCCACAGCTCCCCTTCTTTTCTTTATAATCCGTGAGCATGCACGTGGATTGGTGATATTAACATTTGCATAGTATTGCCTTAATTTTGGGGTCATCATTTTCTTTTTCGACAATCCATTATTTAATAGACAATCCTTATGAAAGCAAGAAAAGTAGAAAATGACATTACAATTGCAATAACTTTCATACAATGCTCACTTGAGTGTCATAATTTTTTTTTTCGATCATTTGAGTGTCATGATATCTGAACAGCATTCACTTAAGTATCATAACTTTTTACAAAACGTTCACCATAAGTGCCAAAAATCCGACTTTGCATGATACTTGTGGTGAATGTTTTATAAATGTTACGATACTTAAATAATCGATTGAAAGTTATATCAATGTTTTTAAAAAGTAATAGTACTCAAGTGAACGTTTTTCAAAAGTTATAACATTCAAGTAATCGAAAAAAAAGTTATGGCCCTAAAACAAGCATAGCATAAGGAGCAGAGTTGAGTGCTATAACTTTTTTCCTTTTTCTTTGTTGAACAAACTTTCTTTGAGCATGTTCATAGAAAGCACAATGTAAGGAACAAAGTTGTTTAATGCCACAACCAATGTATCCCAACTGTTGGAGAAAGTACCATGCAATAAGCATGCTTCCAACCCTCATCACCAAGATCAATTTCCAGATTTTTCAATTGATTTACAATATCTTAAAATTGACTCAAGTGCTTAGACATGCTACTTCTTTTCTTGTATCACAAATTTACAAGTCTCTTGACTAAAAATGCTTTATTTTGTGAGATCCTCCTCTCCCAAAGATCTTGTAATTTCTTCCACGATATTTCAGCATTTGTTTCTTGAGCAACATGATATAAAACATTATCATCAATCCATTATCAAATAAAGCCAACCGTTTTCCGATTAATTCGCTCCCATTCTTTATCTTCCTTGTCTCATTTAGCTTTATCCCCATTGTTCATACAAATTTTTACAGTACAATATGTCTTCAATCCAAGGCTTCTAAATAGAACAAGTTGAGGCATTTAACTTAAACATGATGTTGTTAACTTAAACATGGTGTTGTTGGTTTCCTCCATCAATGCTAGCTTTGATACCACTTTTGTGGAGAAAGACAACAACAATTCACTAAGAACTTAAACTTGTTTAGGATCAATATCTTCCCCAAAACTCAACCAACCAATATCAAATCAACCTCAACAACAACTAGTTACAATATTCCAACAATATCAACCCCAAACCAGTAAATATAGCGCTGAAAATTAAAGACGAAATAGAAAAGCAAAACCCACAAATTTTATGTTGAAAACCCAATGCGGGAAAAACTACGAGGCCACTCCAAAATGTCCACTAAATATAAAAACTAGCAGGATATACAATAGTTCATCACTAGCCAATAGTTAAAGGCTCGACACATCAACAATACAATAATATATCATCACTACAAAGGTGGATCAACAAAGGAAAAAGAAAACTCTAACCACAGTCGAAGAAATTGAGAAACAATTTGGAGAAGGATTTCAACGAACAAAACAGATGAACATACTAAAATTACAACCAATTCCAACAAAGTTTCACCATATCTGCTCCTCTTTGAAGCTGCGCGCGCTCCCTCCCTCTTTCTTTCTTTTTTCGTAGAAAAACACCACTGCTCTCGCCTCTATACTACTGTGAACTAGGGGTGATCGGTTACAGGATGGATAGGTTCCATACCTGGAACATACCATGTTATAATCAGTTCCTAGTTTTGGAACCTAGAACTGACCCTATTTGCCCTAGAAACTATTTTGGAACCTGCCCTCTTTTTCTGGTTCGGTTTTAAGGACTGCCGAAGAACCTGTTTTTCTTTTGTTCCTTTTTCTGGTTTCATTTTTTCCAACAAAATAATATGAGTAACGATAAAACGATTCAAAGTAAAAGATGAATAATAAAAATCACTATTCGTCAAAAGCAACAATCCCTACGATGAATAATAAAAATTACTATCCACCAAAAGCATCAATCCAAAATATAGTAATAGTATGATCTACGTTTTTTTTTTATAACACAAGCTAAAAACCGGCTCCAAAACTGGTCTGGGTGGGTCTTCACTTGGAACCGGGAATCGGACAAGTTCCAACCGATTCCCAAAAAATGGAATCGGTTCTCGGACCAATCCAAATAGAAATTAGTTCCCGGACCTATTTTTCTGGTGGTCCAGTCTAGTTCTTGGGTAAACCTGGTCCGGTTGCACACCCCTACTGTGAACATTCAGCACTCTTTTTCTTTCCTTTTTGACTTTAGTTTTTCTTTTTTAAGATGGTGTTAGGCCTATGAGGCGGACCGAGCTCATCACCCTACACACGTTAAATGAGACCCAACGTGTCCTTGACTTCAATTTTCTCTATGAGTCTTCGCTTGCGGAACAAAAGAAGGGAAAACTCCAACTCCGTTGACTTGACTGACTTATGGTACAAGCAACCTAAATGGCTTGTATAATCAAATTCTTGCAATAGGGGCTCACCCTCCACCATCCACACGTACATTTACTTGATTTGCGGGTAGACTTGCGGTCCATACATAACCAAAGTTCTAATTTGACACTACCCTATATAAATGTCTTCTGTATGTCTCTTCTTAGCCATCCAATCATCAAAACATGAAATCTTGCTTCACCATTCACCTCTCTCTCATCTTCTTCTTCTTCAATTTTCTCAGCATTTGCACTCACATTACCGAAGCTGCAGCAACTTATTTATGGCATTCCTGCCCAAACACCACCCTCTTCACTCCCAAGTCTACCTACCAAACAAATCTCAACACCCTCCTCTCTTCCCTCTCCTCCGTTGCCGCCACAGATGCTGACGGCTTCGCCAATACCACCACCGGAAAAAACCCACTTGACAGCAGCTACGGGCTATTCCTCTGCCGTGGCGACATTACCACCGCCACTTGTGGCGATTGTGTGGCCAACGCGAGCAAGGAAATACTCCGCAAATGCCCTAAAGAGAAAGACTCCATCATTTGGTATGATGAGTGCATGCTGCGTTACTCGAACCAATCCATTTTCTCCGTCAAGCAAGAATCACCATCCTTCATATTGATGAACACGGTCAACATTTCAAACCCTAGCAGTTTCACCCAGTTGCTGAAGGACACGACTGATGAATTAGCAGAGAGGGCGGCGAGCGATGGGTCCGGGAAGAGGTTTGCTGTCAAGGATGCTGACATCACGAGCTCGAATCGGCTGTACACGCTCGCACAGTGTACGCCGGACTTGACGGCGGCGGATTGCAAGTCGTGCTTGCAAGCGGCCATCGATAATCTGCCAAGCGATAAGGAAGGAGGGAGAGTCTTGGCCCCAAGCTGCAATGTTAGGTTTGAACTTTACAAGTTCTATAATGAGACTGTCTTCCACGAAGCACCGGCACCGGCACCGGCACTGGCACTTGCTCCGCCACCTGCAGCGGTTGTAACTGCTCCTCCTCCTTCTTCAACTGTGAGATCTAAAGGAGCCATAGAGTTATGTTTTCTCGTGAACTTTGCGTTCTTTGTATTGCTCGGGTAGTGTTTTTCTTCCCTTTTTGACGTTGATGAGAAGCTGGGGTTGTTGAAGTAGAGTTACTTTCCATTCAGTGTAATAGTTGACGACGGCATAATGAGAAAAAGTTTGTGAGCACCTAAAAGTTCATGAATGTGACTCATTTTAAGGACAAGGTGAGTAGATGCGATCCTCCATGGTAGGAGAGTGTGCTAGAAATATACTAAGACTCATCTATTAAATTCAATAATGTGCAAATCTATGGTTGCTTAAACGAGCAAATTAATTTAGATAACCATTTACAAAATGTACCACATCACTTAACAAGCCAATTTAGCAAGCAACTTTCAGTATTCCTAACATTTCTAATAGCACGTGTCGAAGAGTATGTTTAATTCTGTCGGACTCGTCGTAAGTCCCATTAAGCTTTGATTGGATACATTTTCGGGATTTCTATTGGGCCTTTTTCGACAATTTGTTCTCCTGTTTTTGTTATTTCTTTACCGATGAAATGTCATCATTGATCCCTCTACTGATATTTTGAAATCAAAACCGCCCCTCTTCTTCTTCTTCTTTTTTGTGGTTCAAAACCGTCCCGGTACTTGAATCCCCTTCTTTTTAGGGTTCAAAACATGTGTACTTTTGGCCGCTCAAGATTCTTAATTTGTTTTGTTCAATGTGAGATGCAATCCTCTTTTCGCAGAAAAAGAGCTAACAGACTTTGGAGAGATCTTCTCCGTTGCACTTTTTTGTGATGTGCACCTTAGACATGTTTCCGAGTTTATGCTTGTGTTAATCTGTTTACACTATGTCAAAACTAGTACACTCAGTTTGGACATTATTTTTGCATTGGGTTCGCTTGTTTTTTTAGTACCTATCACCTCCTGATGGTTGCCGCCTTTGCAGCCTACCACCGACGTCCAGCGAGGTCCATTCCGCCAGCTTTCGATCTTTCTCATCTCTGGAACTAACCCTAGTATCTTGGTGGCATAAGCTTATGTGTCGCATCTCGTCGCTCGTCGAAATCGCCAAAGCTCGAGCCGCCATGGTCGCCACCGGGGGAGTGGCAAGCCAAAGTCTTGTGCTTGGATTCCTCGATGACATGGTCATGGGCCTTATGGCTTTTTGGGCCATCCTATCTCTGTACCTAAGTTAAATAATGAATTCAGCAAATAATTCATCATGTGTATGATAAACTGTCCAGTTTTACCAACCGGCCTACAATATATAACCAGAAAATTTCTCACGACCTTTTTCTAGAAAACCTTAATTTGACCAGACGGCTTTATAAACACCATTCACATTGAAAGATCAACTTTGATTATTGTTGCTTGTCCGGTCGGTCCATCTTTTGACCTTATCTTCCCCAGAAATACATAGACGCACATGCAAAAGTCTAGTGTGGACCATCATCCTCCTGGAAAATTAGGTTCTCAATTTAAGTTTTTAGTAATTATTTGTCATTATCTTATAAAACTTTAGGTAGATTTCATTTAATAATTAGTGTATTAGAGATGTCTTTTATATAGCTATCTATATAAGTTTCTACATTTAACAAATATTTTCCTTTCATTCTAACTACAGAGATTAAATCCAATAATGTTAAGATTTTTCAATACAAAACTCACTGATCTCCTCATAAATAACTAATCATTTATGGATTTATCGACAAATAACCGAGGTCACTAGATAATAATGGAGCTTATGTATCTATTTATCTATCATGTCATGGAAAAGAAGGGTTCCGAATTTTGATTAGACCCAAAACAACTATCTACATATTGCACTTTGATTATGCCAAATGTTGATTAGATATATTATCAAATGAAAAACTTGTGTATGAAGGAGAGGGACGAAAATACCAAATTACTAACAAAATTGGTAGTTAAATAGTCAAATACCCAACAACTCAACAAAATATTTAAGTGGATTGAAGTCGTCGTTTGCAAATCAATCCTAAATGATTTAATGTAGAAATTTCTGATGACATGGAACTGAGAATTCATTTTCGTCGAGCATCCTTGTTTAGGTTGATGGAAAACTTAATGTAAATTGACTATGCTGTTTGAAAGTAGCATGAAATGTCTCCATGTCTCTCTCTCTAACATCCAGTTACGTCTACATCCTTATCATTGACTTATCTTTCCAGGTCTCCGCCTGAGGTTTAGGACGAAACAGTCCAAACTCACTCGACATCATTCAGCTTCCCGAGAACCCACGGCAACGTTGCTAGAATCGCGTCGAATTCAATCCACGATGCGAGTCGCATGACCATTGCTGTCGACGCTCAAGCGAACAAGATTATTAAGTCAATTTAGTATTGTACATTAAAATGAATCCGGACCGTCGGATCCGATGGTGCTCTCGTGAGCTCACCTCACCCCTTGCAGATTCAACCTAGTATATAGATTATGTTTATGCGATAATTTCTTTGCTAGACTTCTAGAATGGCACCAAAGGTGGGAATAAATGGACTCGCCCACCAAAGAGGTGATGGCGTCTCTGGATAATATGTGTGGATTTGAATCTAGCTTGTAAGAGGCACCTTTTGAAGAAAGGATCAATATCATGAAAAACCTCAAACTGGTATACCTGTGACAAATTTATTTCAAACTAATTTTTTGACAATAAAAAACCCAAAACTTGTACATTTTTTTTATAAATTTACTCTATGTTAAATTGGATTAATACTACAAAAATTCACAAACCGGTATACCTGTGACAAACAGAGGGTAAAACCCCAAACTGGTGTACCCGTCAACTATCACACGTTATCCAACTCAAAAATTTGACTAAAAAATTTAACGAAAACTAACGAAGGGTAAAATTGTCACAGATATACTAGTTTGAGATTTTTGGTAGTCGAAGAATTAGTTTGAAATAAATTTGTCACAGATGTATCAGTTTGGAGTTTTTCGTGATAACAACCCTTGAAGAAATTATGCCATTTAGTGTTGGAAACTGCAACATCAAATGTGTCTAATTGAGCACGCTATCAATTTTAGGTCAATATATGATGGATAAAAGAAGGTAATATCTCGAGCGAATTAGGTTATTGTGTTACGCAGTGATCTAGAAAAAGAAATCGATTGCATTGTATCTCCCAAATAAATAGGCGTGACTTGAGCGGAGCGTTTCGAAGGGGTTCGATCCTTCCTTACGCCAATCGATGGTCCGATCGAATTGTGGTGATCAATATTAATATTTCGAAAGTATTACTATTATTACCGGAGCTTTCACGGCAAAACTCAAAGCTATCAGCGCCACCAAGATCACTTTCATCCTTATCTCTTACTCTACAACGACATCACTGGCATACATACTTTGACTTTTCCTCTTCCAGTCGCCACATTGGAGCCAAACAAGAACGCAACTCACGCAATTGACTTCGGTCGACGACCTCGCACGAGGGCAAGTACTTTCTTCCATCCTCACCGTCCATCTCATTCCTCTGTTCCCCCTGCAAATTGATGGCCCAACTAACCCCCAACTCCTGTCGCTTTAAACATCGTTGAATGGACTTTAATGTTCTTTGGAAAATCTCACACCGGTTTTGTCTTGACTTGCCAAAAATCCCTTTTGACCTTTCAAAACTCTATAATACCTTTCCATGATTTAAGATACCGATTTTCATTTGTTCCAGAACTCTTGAATATGTCATTAGTAATGATATTTCAAACTTTAAATGTTCAAAACGTGATCCTCGAATTTCAATTTGCAACGGTGTGCTTCGGATTGAATTTTTTGAAAACAAAATGATGTTTTCACCTTCCAAGCTTTCAGTTCTGCCATCGAACCTAATCTCAATTACATTTTCTCTTTAAGAATACATTATCATAAAATTGCTCAGATTACAGATCACTCAAGTTGTTGTGTAGATTACATGATACTTTTTATAATTAATTATATCAGTCACATATTAAGAAATAGTGAGAATAGCAAATCCTACGTAAAAAACCGCAATTTCTTATCACAAGCCATTAAGAGAACGAGTCTGTTTCTTGCGATACTTTTCTACGGTGTTATTAGCAATGCACTATGGTACAGGACAGTGTCCAAGTGATTAGCTTAAATGCTATAATTCCGCTTGACCAGGACCTTGCTTGCATTTGTAGCCATTGAATCCCCACCATCATTTGAAGATCAATAATTAAGATAAAATATTGGCAACCCAACAGTTCATAATTTAAGAGCATAACAGCCTAACCCCATATTTTTACCATTAAAGTTTCTTGTGCACGTGGCACTGTTCATGCTGCAATTATTTGTCAAACCTGACGGTCCAGATTTATCCTAAGAATATATGTTCTTCAAAATTGGTGCTCTGTGGAGTTCTCGCAACAAGAGTATCTTGGAGAGCAGACCATGCCCTTCTTCTTCCTATAATTCCGTGCCCCTTCTCGTGCCGCAAGTCCGATCAATTCATCAAACTAGCTAACAATGAATTCTTGGTTCACCATCTCCCTCTCTCTCTCTTTCTTCTTCTTCTTCTTTATCAAAATTTTCCGAACTGAAGCTGCACCCAATTATCTAGTTCATGTTTGCCCAAACACCACCCTCTTCACTCCCAATTCCACCTACCAGTCCAACCTCGACACCCTCCTCTCTTCCCTCTCCTCTGCCGCCACCAACAGCACCACCGGCTTCGCCAACGCCACCGCCGGCCAAAACCCTCCCGACCGGGCCTACGGGCTCTTCCTATGCCGCGGCGACGTCAACACTGCAACGTGCAGCGACTGCGTGGCCACCGGAAAACAGGAAATTCTCCAAAGATGCCCCAACCAGCGAGTCTCCGTGATCTGGTATGACGAGTGCATGTTGCGGTACTCGAACCAGTCCATCTCCTCGGCCATGGAGCAATCGCCGGCTCGCATTTTGTACAACACCGGCAACGTCACCGACACAACCCGGTTCATGGATCTCCTGGGACAAACCCTGAACGACGCCGCCACAAGGGCTTCAGCTGGCGGGTCAGAGAGGAAGGTCGCGGTGGCGGAGGCGAACTTCACGAGCTTGCAGAGGCTGTACGCATTCGCGCAGTGCACGCCGGACTTGACGGCGTCAGACTGTGGCACATGCCTCCAATTTGGGATCGCTAATCTGCCTCAGGGGAAGCAAGGCGGGAGGTTGCTCACTCCGAGCTGCAACGTCAGGTATGAGTTCTACCCCTTTTATAACGCCACCGTTCTGCAGGCACCAGCTTCTCCGCCTCCCGCTCCGTCACCTCCGCCTCCCTCTCCGTCACCTCCGCCTAAAGGTAAACATGTGTTTGTATTGCTCGTCTTCCTCCGTCCTAGCTCTCCTTTTATAGAAGCCGCGGATGTAGTCCGGTAGGCCAAAAATGTTTACTGAGATTTAGCTAACCTCTATACAAGAAATGTCTCTACTACTAGGCTTTTGGATTAAATGTTGATTAATTATAATATATTTACACAAGCGGCTTTCTGAATCATCGATTTCAGAGAGTGGGTGGTTACAATCCTCAAGGTAAGGCGGCTGCTCGCGTAAAAATGCTCCAAAAAATGGTCTTACTTCTTTTCGTGTTGTCTTTAACTTCTTCTCTTTATTTCTAGCATAATGACTTTTCGAGTTAACGTAATTGGTTGATTGAAGACATGAGATGATATTCGAGGATCACATGAAAACTTTCTGGTCTTAGTGCGTTTGTTGTTCCTGGGCTTTTACTTGGAGTGGTGACTCCGGTGTTTATGCTGCAACATTTTGTCAAAAAAACTGGAGGCTGGGTCGAAGAATAATAGAAGTATTATAACCATTACGAAATTAATGCTTCTTTTAAGTCTTTCATGCTACAAAGTCAAGATCAGGTACATTTTAGGTGAAAAGTTTTTCCTAGGTGGAGCGATTATCTCAATCACTCATACCAGTTGAACATGGTGGGTTCTACATCCACTTATGAGATTAGATTATTTACATAACAACTGGTTAGAGGTGGCTTTTAATCAATTGGTTAACCCCCTATAAACAATTGGTGCACTGACATTGGAATTAGGAAAATAATGGATTTTGTGAGACGGGCAGATTATGGATTACTGCTTAATTTCTTCTGGACATTTGCTCTTTAAGCGCACTCTGTCTTTCTCCGTTGTTTCCGTTTCCTCTGGCCTATGGTAGCAGTTCCAGTTACCAAAATCTCATAGACATAAACACATACTGATGCTATTAAGATTTGGTTGCACATATGTAGGCAAAAGCAATAAAACTACTGTGATAATCATTGCCGTCGCCGTTCCTGTTGGCGTGGGCGTGGTGCTTCTCTTCCTCGCTTGTTGTTTCAAGCAGAGGAAAGCAACCAGGACGTACGAAGCCGTCCAAGAAGGTCAAAGCGGTATGAAATATGTACCTATGCCATATAGTTCGATAGGATGATGAAACCGTATATGCATGATGTATTGTTCAACGCTTTTGGTGAAATGACCATCTCTTGATGTTTTGTCGTGTAGGTGTAGATGACATTACAAATGCCGAGTCCTTGCAGTATCATTTAGCCACCATACAGGCCGCCACTGACAATTTCTCTCACCAAAACAAGTTGGGTGAGGGCGGATTTGGGGAAGTTTTCCAGGTATGGTTTGTCAGAAACTAGATTGGGAATGGCTTAAATATACTTGAAAGATCTTTAGTGTGAAAAGATTTGAAAATCTTTGATTTGGTAATTTTGAAATGTTGTCATCAAGAGCTATTCATGTGTATTAGACATCAAAATGCTGACCTTCCAGGGTAGCCTTCCTAATGGACAACAAATAGCCGTGAAGAGACTATCTCAAGGCTCGGGACAGGGTGCTGAAGAATTTAAGAACGAAGTCATACTAGTAGCGAAGCTTCAACATCGAAACCTTGTGCGACTGCTTGGGTTCTGCTTGGAGGGTGAAGAAAAACTGCTTGTCTATGAGTTTGTGCCGAACAAAAGTCTCGACTACTTTTTATTTGGTACGTCGTGTTTCAAAATATTACAAAGCTATTGTTTCCATGTTGAGGTGAATATGTGAGTAGCCTCAAGGTATGTTGAATGTTTCACTAGCTTCTAGAACCTCAAGTTAGTTCCTTGCATAAAATCTATTCAAGAGGATTTATCCACTGAATATACCTGCATTTCGATTGTGCATACATGCAGATCCTGAAAAGAGCAAGCAATTGGATTGGTCAAGACGTTATAAAATAGTATGTGGGATTGCTCGGGGAATGCTCTATTTACATGAGGACTCTCGACTTCGGATCATTCATCGTGATCTAAAAGCAAGCAATATCTTGTTGGACAGTGAACTGAACCCGAAGATTTCAGATTTCGGCATGGCAAGGATTTTTGGAGTCGATCAAACACAGGCAAACACCAATAAAATTGTGGGGACTTTGTAAGTATTGTTATGCTTTGTTCTGTACTTTTTATGCTTATGTATGCTTATTGCTGATATATTACGGTTTACAGTGGTTACATGTCACCTGAGTATGCAATGCATGGGCAGTTCTCTGTGAAGTCCGATGTCTATAGTTTCGGTGTTTTACTGCTAGAGCTCATTAGTGGTAAGAAGAATAGTTTCTTCTACCAAGGAGACGGGGGAGAAGATCTTGCTAGCTATGTAAGTTGCACAAATTGACTATAACTAACAAGAAAATTGTTAAACAAAGCAAATTCGACGTACTGAAAATTTTTCTTCGAATGAACTGTTTTTTAGGCCTGGAAAAATTGGAGAGATGGTACGCCGTTGGAAGTGTTGGATCCAGTCATTGGAGACTCGTATTCAAGGAATGAAGTTCTTAGATGCCTCCACATTGGTTTACTATGTGTTCAGGAAGATCCAATGGATAGACCCACGATGGCAAACATAGTCCTTATGTTGAGCAGCTACTCTGTTTCTCTTGCACTGCCCCAACAACCGGCCTTCTTCCTCCGGAGTAGGACAGAGGGACCAATGAAAGAGCATGAATCGGATCAATCCACTAGCAGGTCTATGCCATTGTCGACCAATGAGATGTCGGTCACCGAACTTTACCCCCGGTGAACAGTGATGTGAGTGGAAATCATTCTACACGATAGTCTCACAGAGACCTTGATCATAAAAGCCTTGGCATTCCACTGAGATCGTTACTGAACAATGAGCAAACACCTTTGTCGCTTACATCTAAAGGTACAAAGTGTCTTCTCTTTGAGGCCAATGTTGTTTTGATCCACTAGGCATGGTAGGCTGTTTACATTAACATATATATGTGTGTGGCCTTATTGGATCAAGGAATATAAGTTCTTCCTTGTCTGAAGAAATAATTAATTGAAACGACTGGAGTTTCATCAATTATCTTTTTTTACGGTACTTTTCATGATATATGAGGAGATATATCCGTTTATACATAATCCGCACCGCTTTATTTCTGTCACATTTATTAGAAATTGAAGTCATAAACCTCACCTCCGGATACATTCCTTTGCATGACTGCCTAGTTACTCGATTATAATGGTAGGTGGTTGCTTATGATGGAAAGGCTAGCAACTTTGCGCGGATGCTTACATACATATATTTCCTCATGTGTCCACCATAATAAGCATCTCTCTCTATATATATACACGACCACAAGTCCACCGATGCCGGACCCACTTCAGCCAAATTCCATGACTGATTAGCTCTTTCACCGTCATCCTCTCGTATGTCTCTCTCAATCCGAGATGTTAGCCATGGCCTACGAGGAGTGGAGCTAGTCAGACGAGCTCCTCTATGGACAGCAAGTGCTCAAATGATTGTAGTGTTGAGTAGCAAGACGGTATGGACAGCAAGTGCTCAAATGATTGTAGTGTTGAGTAGCAAGACGGAATGATGGGAGAGGGAGGGAGAGTGCAAGATATTAGGTGGATGATCATGATCGGACAAGTCTAAATTAGAAGAACACGTATTAATGTTTTAATATCCTATGAAGGGTTGACACATAATGTAATATATAATTCCACGAACTCAGTTCACGGGAACCTATTTCAAGTAATACAATTGGATTATATGAGTCTCACGTAGAACCTCTTTAGCATCATCACTTGTCACTGAGATACATGAGTCACGTATATCTCGACTTTTGTTGGTCAAGTCTCCATTCAACAAGAGAATGCAACTCACGCAATTGACCTTGTCAATGGTTCCCGTTCATCTTTTTCTCTTTCCCCACTCGAGCTTTGATGGCCTAACCAATAGGGCGTGAGCATAGCTCATTCGAAACATCCAAAGTGTATGTGTTGGGCTTGTGTGTTTATGACACATTTTAAGTCCCTGTCGACACCTGATTTTGCCGGCCAGGTAAATCGTCCAAATAGAAATAGCAAAAATAGATAGCTGGGTAGACTAGCAACTGGTAATAGAATTATTAGAAAAATACCAAAAAAGAAAAAGAAAACGGAACGGGATTCCTTTCTTTCTGCTCTATTTCCTTGGCTAAGCGTCGCTCGGCCGTCCCCTACGCAAATCGGCATCCCCTAATCGGCACCACCGAGCCTGCGGCTCCCCTCTTCCTCAGCGCTCGATTTTCGGTGAATTGATTTTTTTTGGGTTTGATCCACCATTGTCCCGAGGATCCTGGCTTGGCGATACCGAGACGGCTGACTATAGCTCGACCACTTCGAGCTCGCCTCCCGAGCGTCATCGCCTAAGTCGGGTAGGGTCCCCGCGTTTGGCTTATGCGATTTTCGACCCCGTCTATCCGGTGTGTGGCCGTGTCTGCTCCGTTGGTTGTATATCGAGAATCCCGGTGCGGGTTTGAGTCTCGACTGAGCCGGAAATTCCCCAGCCAGCGATGCACACCACTTGTTTGTCCAAATGTCCGTGTTAGATTCGCTGTCGTTTTACTCTGTTTGCAGCCAAGTCTTGGCCCCCGTGTGGCGTTTACCTCGTTTTTTTTGGGCCGTGAGTCGGCGCGTGGCCGGGCCGAGATGAGCGGCTCCGCTCGTTTCGAGTGTCTCCGTCCCGTCAGAGGAGCAGGGGCGTGCAGGAGGAGCGTCGGATCAGAGTTGGGTCAGGCATATAGGGGTTTGGTTGGACCTTTTAGGATTTGGTTCTTGGGCTGGGCCCGAATAGGATAGTCTTAGTTCCTAGGGTTGGTTTAGTATAGGCTAGGGCTTGTATTTTCATCGGGCAGGACTCAGTTGTTTGTCTTTTCCTTCATTTGTTTTGGTTTTGGGTATTGCCAAACTGGGCTCAATCGCTGAGCCCAATCCAGCTGTGAACCAGGGCTGGCGAGCCCGGGTCGGATGAGGAGATCTGACATGGATCCGCATATTATAATATTATAATTATTGAAAATTTAAAAAATTCTAAAATTTTTAATTTTAATAAAATATATGAAGAAAATCATATTTTTAAAAAAATTAGGAAAAATCTTAGAAACTAGATTTTGAGTAGTTTTCTTTTAAAATATGCAAAAATCTTTGATCAAAAAAATTTCTTTACTCAAAATTGAACGAGCCTTTAGGGCTTTACGATAGGTTTTGATTGTTGTTAGAGACAAATGATAGGTCATTGTTTGCGCATTTCCATTTCGATTATTATTTGATTGCATACTTTCGATACATTGATCGTTATTTCTCTTTAGCCTGGTTAGGAATAGAACCTTAGGATTCATAATTAGCAAAAAGGCTGCCTAGACATGTTGGTTGATAATTGAATAAGATTAGGTACCGAAGGGACATTAGTACATTTATTGTGTGTCTTTTATTTGACTTTGTTTGTGTTAAAATTATGTCTCGATTTTGAACCCAAAAAGAAAAGTTTCCTAATACAAGTAGGTTTCGTAGTTGAATGGTTTCCTAGTTAGAGAAGGTTTCCTAGGATTTAATTCTTGCTTATATATAAGAAGGGGACGTTCTTTGTGAAGTCAAATATACCTTGAGAGCTTTTAGTATTGAAGCTAATTAAATCTTGTGGTAAGATTTGTATAATTCCTTCATGAGATTGAGAGATTATTTCATGAGGAATTGTGGGTTAAACACTGCGTGAGTTATTGGGTGTAATTGGAGGCTAGGAAACACTAAGAGTGTTTGAGTGACTCGAGTGTGGTTGTAATCTCCATTGTATTGCTTGATTTATAGTGAAATTCGTTACTGCTCTCCCCATGGACGTAAGTCACTATGATCAAACAACGTAAATCTAGTGTCTGATTTATTTTCTTGTTCTGTTTATTTTATTGTTCGATCGCCTGTTTATGCAACAATTGGTATAAGAGTTAGGTTTGGCTAAGTTGAAGCGAATTGATGGTGACAAACTAAAGGAAAAGTGAAAATCAACAGATTTGATGGGAAGGACTTTGGTTTCTGGAAAATGCAAATTGAGGATTATCTGAATAAAATAAAACTGTACTTGCCCCTATATGGGGAGAAGCTAGAGATGATGAAGCAAGTTGACTTAGAATTGCAGGATAGATGACCTTTGGGTATTATTCGACTGATGTTGGCTCGTAACGTCGCGTTTAATATTGTGAAAGAGATAACCAATGCGGGATTGATGAAAGCCCTATCGGATATATACGAGAAGCCATCTACGATCAATAAAGTTTATTTGATATGACATCTGTTTAACTTAAAGATATGCGAAGGTGCGTCGATTGTTGATCATATTAATGAATTCAATGTGATCATTAGTCAATTGAGTTAAATTGAGATTGACTTTGAAGATGAGATACGTACTTTAATTCTATTATCCACATTACTTGATAGTTGGAATACTACTGTTACTGTGGTTAGTAATTCCTTTGGATCAATAAGTTTGACGTTTGATGGGGTTCAAGATTTGATTTTCAGTGAGGACATTCGTAGAAAAGAATTTGATGAACCTGTATATGCTACTTTAGTAGGTGAAAATAAAGAAAAAGTTAGTACAAGTGTTAAAAGGACTAGTATAAACTTGAATGGATGAAATCAGTTTATGACTAGTGGTATTGTCTGTTTGAGCTGTGGTGAAAGGAAGCATATTAGAAGGAATTGCTTTAAGCTGAAAAATGACAATGGTAAAGGAATTAGAGTTAAGTCTGCGGATGATGTTGCAGCTATAGCTAATGGTAATTTGGATAATGCATATCACATCTTGTCTATCACTTATTATTCATTGTTTGATGAATGGATTATGGATTCTGGTTATTCTTTTCATTCTACACCAATCAGGAACTGATTTACTACTTATCAGTGCACGGATAATAGTAAAGTATAGTTGGGGAACAACGCTTAGTGTGATGTTGTGGGTGTTGGTAATGTTAGAATCAGAATGCATGATGGTATCATAAGGACATTGACTGGAGTGAGGTATGTTCCAAAATTGAAGAAGAGCTTAATTTCCTTGAGTGCCTTGGATTTAGTTAGGTATCCGTATTTTTCAGAATGTGGAGTTCTGGAAATTATTCAAGGTGCCTTGGTGATAATAACAGAAATCAAGCACAATGACCTATATGAGCTTCAAGTTGAGACAGTGACGAATTCGCTGCGGACATGTCGGAGGCATATGCTTGAGAGCTTGAATTGTGGCATATGCGTTTAAGGCATATTAGTGAGAGAAGCCTGAAGGTTTTAAGTGAAAGAAATCTGTTGTGTGGTTATGATGCTGTCGAATTGAATGTCTGCAGGTGCGGTGACTTAGATTAGTGACGGAAAGTGCAGTTTAGTGCAATTATCAGAGAAAAGACGGATGTTGCAGAGTTAATTCACTTAGATGTTCACAGGTTGTTGCGGTTTTCTTTAAAAAAGAGTGTCAGATTTATGCTAACAATTGTATATGACTACTCGAGAAAGACCTAGGTGTTTGTGCTAAGGCACAAGTTTGATACTGTTGTTAGGATCAGGTAATTAAAAGCTTTGATCGAAAATGAGACTTGTAAAATAATCAAGCATGTGCGGACTGATAGTAGTATGGCGTTTTGCTCGAAGCTATTAAACGAATTCCATATGAAGGAATGCATAGTGAGACATTGCACTAGTGCTAATAAACTACAATATGTTGCAGAGTTGATGAGCAAAACATTACTAGAGACGGCCCATAAAATGCTCTCTAATGCTAGTATGGTTAGGACATTCCTGACGGATGTGCTTAGTACGGCGAGCTACTTGGTAAATAGATCCCCATCACTGTGATTGGATGTCAAACTCCCGAAGAAGTGTGAACAGGTAATGTTGCTGATTATTATGTTCTTAGAATATTTGATTGCCCATGTTGTATTCAAGCGAGTGATGGTGAGCTTAATTGAAAGACAAGAAAGTACATGTTCCTAGATTATGCAAAAGGTGAGTGGGTCTATCGATTGTGGTGCTCGGAATTAATTCACCTATTGTCAGCAGAGAAGTGACATTTGATGAGTTTTTAGTACTTCTGGGTATGAGTGTTATTGGCAGTGTTCATACGGATTTGGATGGTGTTCAGCATGAGGTGGAGTTGCAACCATAAACTTCTGAGGTAGCAGATACTAGCGGATTAATTGACACAGATGGTGCTTATAGCGAGATGGATCCTATAGAGCCAACAGTTGCTATAACTACAAAATTTGACAAGGTACGTGTTCTATCTCCAATCAGACATGGATGTAATTATGTTTTTGTATTATCTGTGGTAGAGTAGGTTGTGTCGGAAAATCTTTTTGGAGTGGTTAAAGGTGCAAGTCCAATTGGTGTTTTGCTGAGGTCCACGGTTAAGGCGAAATTCAAGTAAGGCTTGGATTTGAAAGATGTCTGTAGCTATTGAGCCTATTGGGGGTTGTGGGAGAGTAGTAGTGAAGTTTCGATAAAGCGATTGTTATTTGGCTTAAACGTCGAGTTAAGGTGGAGATTGTTAAAATTATGTCTCAATTTTGAGCCCAAAAAAGAAAGTTTCCAAATTCAAGTATGTTTCCTATCTTGAATAGGTTTCATAGTTGAATGGTTTCTTAGTTGGAGAAGGTTTCCTAAAAAAAGGTTTTCTATTTTGGATCTAATTCTTGCTTATATATAAGAAGCGAATGTTCTTTATGAAGAGTATTAAAGAGCTTTTTTGTGAATTATACCCCGAGAGCTTTTGGTATTGAAGCCAATTGAAATCTTGAGGTAAGATTTGTGTAATTCCTTCATGAGATTGAGAGATTATTTCATGAGAAATTGTGGGCTGAACAGTACGTGAGTTGTTGGGTGTAACTGGGGGCTAGGAAACACTAAGAGTGTTTGAGTGATTTGAGTGTAATTGTAATCTACGTTGTATCGCTTAATCTATAGTGGAATTCATTTTTGCTCTCTTCGTAGACGTATATCACTATAACCTTACCACATAGATTTGGTATTTGATTTATTTTCTTGTTCTATCTATTTTATTATTCGATTGCTTGTTTCCGCAGCAGTTTGTGTGCATTTACGGTTTTCTTTTTCATTTAATGTTTGCCAAGTTATGTGCACGTCCAACCACTACAAAAGGTTGTGAACTTTAGATTTGTAGTTACATTGAACAAAACAGCATTCGCACTTCAATAGGTTCTCCCTCCAGTCTTTATTTTTGCCTTGTTCCAGATTTCCAAAATTGTCATTATTCTTTTTGTTTACAACATTTGGTATAAAAGCTAGAAATAGCATTCACCAATTCCGTTTAATTGCAACTTCCAAAGTTGAACGGAAGGAATTTCATCAACTGATCCATCTAGATGAAGGTTCTCTTCAAGTCGCAAGATTTATGGAATCTGGTGGAAAAGCCTACACTGAAGTGGCCAATGCTGAAGCATTTGAGGCCTTAAGAAAGGAGGAGAAAGATTCTTGGTTGGAGTCCCTTAAGAAAGACCAGAAAGCATTGTATGCGATCTTTCAAGCCGTGGAGGAAACGATATTTGAAAAAATATCGAGTGTGGAGACTGCGAATCTAGCGTGGGATATTTTGCAAAAATCCTATAAAGGGGTAAGTGTATTGGAAGTCCTAAAACTTGTCACGGAAATGCAGTTTAGTCCTAAAACTTTTAAAAAGTGCAATTAAGTCGTAAAACTTGTCACAAAAATATAATTGAGTCCTAAAACTTTCAAAAATTACAATCAAGTCATAAAATTTGTCAAATTGGTCCAATGAAGTCCTTCCTTTGGTTGTACTTTTTGAAAGTTTTAAAATTCAATTGCATTTTGGTGATAAGTTTAAGGACTTGATTGTACTTTTTGAAAGTTTTATCACTCGATTGCACTTTCGTGACAAGTTTTAGGACTTCGTTGCATTTTTTGAAATTTTAGGACTTGATTGCATTTTCGTGATAAGTTTTAAGATTTTCAATGTACTTATCCCATAATTTAAAGTAATAATTTCTGATGACATGGAACTCAATGTAGAGAATTCATTTTCTTTGAGCATCCTTATTTACGCTGATGAAAACTGATGTAAATTGACTATTATGTTTGAAAGTAGCATGAATGTCTTCCATCTCTCTCTCTCACTTTCAGTTACGTCTACATCCTCCTCCTTGACTTAACTTTCCAAGTCTCCGCTTGAGTTGAGGACAAAACAGTCCAAACTCACTCACCATCATTCAGCTTTCGGGAACCCACGGCAACGTTACTAGAATTGCGTCCAATTCAATCCATGACGCGAGTCAAGTGAGCATCAATGTCAACGCTTATGTGAGCAAAATTATTCATAAGACTATATATATATATATATGGATCGTCAGATCTGTTAGCTTTTTTGTGAGCTCAATCCTTGCGAATTAAACAGTATGTATATTATGTTTACGTAATAATTTTTTCGCTAAATTTCTAGAATGGCAATGGAAGCACAAATAAATGGACCCGCCCAATGAAGAGGTGATAGTGTCTCTGGATAATGTATGTGAATTCAAATCTAATGTGTTTTGAAGAAATAATACAATTTAGTGTTGGAAACTACAATTTTTTTTTTGTCAGAAGGAAGCTATAATATTAAACATGCCTAATTGAGAACAAAATTAAGTCTAGTGGCCTTCTAGATAAATAGGCGTAACTCACACGAAACGTTTCGGGAGGGGTTGGATTCTTCCTTTCGCGGTCGCATCAAATTATGCGAATCAATTGTCAAATTAGAGCGCTACTCACGGAATTGACTTTGGTCAACGGCTTCGTACGAGGGCAAATGCTGTCTTCCATCCTCACCGTCCATTCATTCCACTGTCCACCTTACTAACCCCAGCTCCTGTCGCTTTGACATCATGGAATGGACTTTAATGCCTTTTTTGGGGGGTCATACTTTAATGTTCTTGTACTTTGTGGAAAATCTCACACCGGTTTGTCTTGGCTTGTCATAAACGGCCCTTTGACCTAGCGAAAAACTATCTAATATAATGGATTAATACTTAAAAAAAACGCCGAATTAATATATTTATAATAAATTTATTTAAAATTAATTTTTTGATTACCAAAAATCTCAAATTTATACACCTGTAACAAATTTACTCTTCATTATTTTTTGTTAAATTTTACCGTCAATTTCTGAGTTGGATATATCAGTTTGGGGTTTTACCATTTCGTTTGTTACGGGTTTACCAATATATATGATTTTTCGTGGTATTAATCCAATTTTACGGAGGGTAAGATTGTCACAAGTGTACCCGTTTGGAATTTTTGGTAGTTAAAAAATTAGTTTATGGTAAATTTATCACATGTGTACCAGTTTGGGGTTTTTGGTGGTCGAAAAATTAGTTCGGGGGTAAATTCATCACATGTATACCAGTTTGAGGTTTTTCATATAATAGCCTTTCATGATTTTAGATATCAATTTATATGTTCTAGAACTCCTAAATATGTCGTGAGGAATAATATTTTAAATTTATAATGTTCAAAACTCGGATCCTCGAATTTCGATTTGCAATGGCGCCCTTGTATTAATTTAAGAGGTTGATGTTGGGGTTTGTTTATACTCCCCATTGATAGGAAAGCACGGGGTGAGCGGGCGAGAGTCCAGGGGGTCACCTCAGGGCTACCTTGCGACGCCAGAGAGTTTTTATAATTTGGGTCCGTATTTTATTGATAATTTGGGCTTGAACCCTTGAATAACTATTTAATAGATAATATTTCTTTCACTTGTAATTGAAAGTTATAACAGAAATGTGTGAGGTATTAATTATGATGAAATCCTTTTGCTAGATGTAATCCTAGTTTAAGGGTGAATCAGGATAAATCTCGTGTCTTGATTTATCTTTCTTGTCTTTACTCTCTATTTCGTTGCGCCTAATCCAAACACATGAAAATGACAGTTTTCTGGACCTGGTACTGTTCATGTTGCAATTACGTATCCTAAGAATTGATGTTCATCAAAATTGATTCTCCGCATGCTCTTCTACTTCCCACAATCTTCTGCCCGTTCTCGTGCCGCAAGCCCAATCAATTCTTCAACCTAGCAAATCATGAATTCTGGCTTCACCATCCCCCTCTCCCTCTCCTTCTGCTCGTTCTTCTTCTTCGTCTTCGTCCAGAATTTCAGTACTGAAGCTGCCCCCACTTATCTTAATCATTCTTGCCCACACGTCTTTCTCTTCACTCCCAACTCCACCTACGAGTCCAACCTCAACACCCTCCTCTCTTCCCTCTCCTCCGCCGCCACCATCAGCACCAACGGCTTTGCCAACGCCACCGCTGGCCAGAACCCTCCCGACCGGGCCTATGGGCTATTTCTCTGCCGCGGCGATGTCGACACCTCCACGTGCAGCAACTGCGTGGCCACTGGAAAACAGGATATCCTCCGAATATGCCGGAACCAGGGAGCCTCTGTGATCTGGTACGACGAGTGCATGTTGAGGTACGCCAACAAGTCCTTCTTCTCGGCCATGGAACAGGTGCCTAATCTCTTGATGCAAAACGTTGCAAACATCACTGATCCGACCCGGTTCAAGCAACTCCTGGGACGGACCGTGGATGACGTTGCCACAAGGGCTTCCAACGGCGGGTCGGGGAAGAAATTCGCGGTCAAGGAGGCAAATTTCACGAACTTGCAGAAGCTGTACACCCTCGCGCAGTGCACTCCGGACTTGACGGCGTCGGACTGCAACCGGTGCCTTCGGACGATGATCTCCACCCTCCCTCAGGAGAGGCAAGGTGGGAGGCGGTACACCATGAGCTGCAGCGTCAGGTTCGAGGTGTACCCGTTTTATAGTGCCTCAGCCATGGTGGCTCCGGCGCCGGCTCCGGCGCCTCCGCCATCTCAACCTCCGCCTCTTCCTCCTCCCTTGACCAGAGGTAAGTGTTTGATTTTATTATTTGTCTTCCTCTATACAAGAAATATCCGATCCATTTAATTTTTAGTAAACTAGTTATCCTACTTTATAGTTTTAATTCTCAGATTCAACTTTTTTTAACAAAAATAAAATGTGAAATGCTATCAGTGGTTCATACATATCTGTGATAAATCAAGTTTTGGGATGTATTCTTGGGGATTTTCTGAGTCTCATTCTCCTTTGCTGTCCTCTTAATTTGATTTGTGATGTAAATTTTTCGTATTAATGTCGATACCAGATTTTGCGAGTCTGGTAAATCAATATTTAAAATGCAAAATGGGCCAAGATAGTGTACAAATGGACAATGGGGTGAAATAGAAAAAAAATTTAGAAAATGTCTACAAAAATTCGAAAATTGGAAAAAGAAAAAGAAGAAGAAAAAGAAGAGAACTGGGCCATCACCATCACAACCCTCCAACCTCCGACCAGTGATTTCAGGACACCAACTCCTCACACCGACTCCCGCCTCCTGGTAAGTTCCGCTTGTTCATTTAACTTAGGTCTTTCCCGAGGATACTGGCTCGGAGATGTTGCAAGGTGACCAGACCTAGTCCGATTCATCTTGAGTTCGCTCTTTATTCGCCGTCGTCGAGCCGGGTAGGGACCTCTGTTGAGCGTCAGAGGCGCGGCAACAATATTGATTTGATGGAAGAAATTTTTGAAGGTGAAACAATCGCAATTCGCGTCTTTCTATTGCATGTCTCAATTACAAGAGAAATAGACTATATATAGGCCATAGTTTGATTCGAAATAGGAAACCTCTTTCTAGGAAATCTATTCTAATTAGGAAACCTACTCCGATTAGGAAACCATTCAATTAGGAAACCTATTCAAAATAGGAAATCTAATTGACTTAGGAAACTTTCCTCTTTCGGGCTCAAACTATAATTAGCACCTAAAAACACGAAAAATCAAAATATGAAAATACGAATAGACTCACAAAAAAACAAGTATCAACAAATTTGGTTTAATTTCTAACACTCCCCCCTAAACCAAATTCTCTTCCATCGATCATTCCAAGCAGGCTCTTGAACTTTCGAAAAGCATCGATCTTGAGAGGTTTAGTAAAAATATCTGCTACTTGATCTCCGATTTTCACATGCAATACTTCAACTTCATTCTCTTTAACCTGTTCTCGGATGAAGTGGTATCGAACATCGATATGTTTACTTCGTTAATGAAAAACTGGATTTTTCGCCAAAGCAATAGCAGAAACATTATCAACAAAAATCTCCGTTGCTTTCTTCTGCTCCATAAGAATATCTTTGAGTAGTCTTCTCAACCATATTGCATGACAAACACATGAAGATACAGCTACATATTCAGCTTCACATGTCGACAGAGTAACACTTGATTGCTTCTTTGATGACCACGTGAAAGCAGTGTCGCACAAGAAAAATATAAATCCGGTGGTGCTTTTTCGATCGTCGATATCTCCACCATAATCACTATCCGAATAAGCTCTAAGTTTGAAAGATTCAGAATAATAATAGTATAAGCCATAAGAAATAGTACCTTTGATATACCGAAGTATTCTCTTTGCAGCTTTAAGATGAGATGATTTCGGCTTCTCCATATATCGACTCACAATTCCAACACTATACATAATATTCGGTCTCGTGCATATCAAGTATCTCAAACTCCCAATCAAGCTTCCATAATATGTCGAATCAACATCGGCACCATCATCAAACTTCGAAAGCTTGGTTCCGCACTCCATTGGTGTATTGACCGGCATACAGTTCTTCATGTTGAATTTTTCAAGGATATTTTCTGCATATCCTTTTTGAGAAATAAAAATCCCATCGGCACTTTGCTTCACTTCGATACCAAGGAAATAATTCATGAGACCATTATCGGTCATCTCAAATTCTTTCACCATCGATGCCTTAAAAGTATCAATCATCGCCGAATTATTTCCTGTAAAAACAAGATCATCAACATATAAACAGGCGAGTAGAATATCACATTTTTCTTGCTTCAAATAGAGTGCATGCTCGTATGGACATTGAGAGAATCCATTCGCCTTGAAATATGCATCAATTCTGGAATTCCATGCTCTCGGTGCTTGTTTAAGCCCATATAGAGCTTTCTTTAACCTCAGCACTTTGTCTTCATAACCTTTCACAACAAACCCCTTGGGTTGTTCGACATAAATTTCTTCTTCAAGGATGCCATTCAAGAATGCTGATTTGACATCCATTTGATAAATTCGCCAATTATTTTGAGCAGTAATGGAAATAATCAATCTAATTGTTTCCATGCGGATGACAAGGGCAAAAACTTCATCATAGTCGATTCCGGCTTTTTGCTTGTACCCCTTCGCGACTAATCTAGCTTTGTATCTTGTCACTTCACCTTTCTCATTCTTTTTGGCCTTGTACACCCATTTAACACCAATCGATTTCTTGTCCTTCGGAAGATTAGCAAGCTCCCATGTTTAATTTTTCTCGATGGCTTCAATTTCTTCGTTCATGGCTTTCCTCCACTTTTTCTTCTTTGGCCGCATCATCATAAGCAAGTGGTTCACAATCTGCAAGAAGACATATAAGATGAAGCTCTTCGGTAGCTTTGTAAATTTCAGACAATCTTTTCGATCTTGGCACTAGCGGTTCATCGACACTATTTAAAGAGGATGGTGTTGATGAACTTGAATAAGATGTTGGAGAAAAGGTGAAGGTTGATCTTTCAACTCCGTTTGATTGGAATCACCACGAACATTCGCTTCTTCTTTTGGATTTTCTTCCCACATTCCATTTTCATCGAACTTGACATCTCTACTTACATACACTTTCAAAGTGTTAGGGTCAAATAATCGATAGGCTTTGGATGATGAGTCATACCCGATAAAGATGAGCTTTTTGCTCTTGTCTTCAAGTTTCGATCTTTTTTTATCCGGGACATGAGCATAGGCAATGCTCCAAAAAATTCTCAAGTGCGAAACACTTGGTGTTCTCCTGGTCCATGCCTCTTGTAGAGTTACGCCTTCAAGTCCATATGTGGGACATCTATTTTGAAGATAGACGGCACACAAAACAGCTTCAGCCCAAAGTTCCTTGGACAAATTTTTGCTCTTCAACATGCTTCGAACCATATCAAGAATGGTTCTATTTTTCCGTTCAGCCACACCGTTTTGTTGAGGAGAATACGGGGCCGTCAAGAAACGCCGAATACCATGATTTTCACAAAATTTGTTGAATATGGCTGAGGTGAATTCTCCACCACGATCAGTCCTCAAAGCCTTGATAAAATAGCTGTTTTCCTTTTCAGCCAAGTTCTTGAATTGTTTGAAAGTATCAAACACTTCTGTCTTTTCTTTAAAAAAATACACCCAAGTTTTCCGAGTAAAATCATCAATAAAAGTAACAAAATATCGATGATTACCATATGAGTGAGGATTGATCGGGCCACACAAATCAGAATGAATTAACTCAAGCGGCTTCTTCGCTCAATAAGTCGCCTCTTTCGGAAAGCTAGTTCTGGAATGCTTGCCGATAACACACCCTTCACATAATTGATCGGGATGATCAATATATGGTAAGCCATAAACCATCTTCTTGCGAGAAAGCAAATTGAGTCCGCCAAAATTGAGATAGCCGAACCTCAAATGCCACAACCATGAAGGATCATCTACGCACGACTTTAGACATCGAGACATCTCACTCTTTATATTAAGAATAAACATCCTGTTCTTCGATATCTTCACATTTGCAATCAGTTTATTATTCCGATCTCTCAACATAAGATTAAGATCTCTCATATGAACAGTATAACCTTTCTCCAGAAGTTGTCCCAAACTCAATATATTGCTTGACATTTTTGGAACATAATAAACATTAGTAATAAACTGACGTGCACCATTCTTTAAGCGAATCAAAATTGTACCTTTCCCTTCAACAAGAATTTTAGAGTTATCACCGAATGAGACAGTCCCTTTAATTGTCTCATCTAACACGGCAAACATCTCCTTTCTCCCGCACATGTGATTGCTTGCGCCGGTATCCAAATACCACGTATCGCTTTGACCTTCTTCACATTCTTTGAATGCCAATAAGAGAACTTGATTAGCATCATTCACCAAGTTCGCCTTTTCGTCTGGTCTGCTACTTTCTTTGTTCTAGCAGTTAGAAGCATAATGGCCAAGTTTATTGCAATGATAACATCGGATTTTAGATTTATCATACCATTGGCTTGTCGAGTTCTTTCCTCTTCCACGAACACCTCTTTGGTACTGGTATCCTCCATCACTTCAAACAGGATCTCCTCTACTTCGTCCGCGACCTCTTCCTCGAAAGTGACCTCGGCCACGACCTCGATTACGATCTTGATTTGTCCCGCGATTTTGTACGGGATCTCTTCTTTGCTCCTTCTCATCTCGAATGGTCAATTGCGTTTGGAGAACTTCCTCCACCGGTTCAATCTTTTTCTTTCTAAACCTTTCTTCATGGGCTTGTAATGAACCCATAAGTTCATCGACCGTCATGGCATCCAAGTCTTTGGATTCTTCGATTGCAACCGCAATATGATCATACTTCTTGTCCAAGGACCGAAGTATTTTCTCAACAACACGAACATCGGAAACGTCTTCTCCATTTCTTTTCATCTGATTAACAATTGCCAAAATTCTCGTGAAATAATCAGCAATCGATTCAGATTCTTTCATATGAATTACCTCGAATTCGCCTCTCAAGGTTTGAAGGCGAATCTTCCGAACTTTTTGAACTCCTTGATGTGTGTTTTGAAGAATCTCCCATGCCTCTTTAGCGGTAGTGGTGTTCGAAACTTTTTCGAACATGGAATCATCTAACGCTTGATAGATGATCGACAGGGCATATTGATCTTTCGTTCAAGCCTTCTCCAAGGCATTCCTCTGGTTCTGATTCAACGTGGTTTCATCCTCTGGCTCATCATAGCCAGTGTTAATAAGTTTCCACACACCGTAGGCGCCGAGTAGAGCTTTCATTCTAACAGCCCAGTTACCATAATTTTCTTTGGTAAGACGAGGGTATTGAAGAGGAAGCTGATTGTTCGTTGAGGCCATGATCACGAATCGTAAGCTTTGATACCAATTTGTTGAGCGTCAGAGGTGTGGCAACAATATTGATTTGATGGAAGAAATTTTTGAAGGTGAAACAATCGCAATTCGCGTCTTTCTATTGCATGTCTCAATTACAAGGAAATAGACTATATATAGGCCATAGTTTGATTCGAAATAGGAAATCTCTTTCTAGGAAACCTATTCTAATTAGGAAACCTACTCCGATTAGGAAACCATTCAATTAGGAAACCTATTCAAAATAGGAAATCTAATTGACTTAGGAAACTTTCCTCTTTCGGGCTCAAACTATAATTAGCACCTAAAAACACGAAAAATCAAAATATGAAAATACGAAGAGACTCACAAAAAAAATAAGTATCAACAAATTTGGTTTAATTTCTAACAACCTCCACAGTTGAGCACTCACCGCACTCTTTTCTCCCATGTCTTGGTCTCGCCAGATCAGAGCTTACAATTCTCTGGTTCACGTGAGTTCCAACCCTGGTGATGTTGTGTCTTGTTGCCTCTGAATCTTTTTGCACTTGATTGTAGTTGGCCCTGGTGCTTGTTTCACGACCCGGTCGAGCCTTTATCTGCTCATCGGTCCGCATACCCTACACGTTCGACGAATGCCTGAACCAGTTTGCGTTTGTGTATAGGATGTTGGGTGTGTTGTTGTGGATCTTTATGTCGTCCATGCGCTGTATGCATTTGTTTTGTTTGAAATGTTTTGGGATATATACACTAGAAGTCCTAAAACTTGTCCTGAAAATGAAATTTGAGTCTTAAAACTTGCAAAAAGTACAATCGAGTTCTAAAACTTGTCAAGTAGGTTTAATCGAGTCCTAAAGTTAACACTGCCTAATTTACTAACGGAAAATGCTGACGTTTCTTATTTTATTATTTTTTGCAAGACATGTGGCGTCCACCAAGCGCCATGTTAGAAAAATATTTAAAAAACAAAAAAAATACACACTAAATTAGTTTTAAAAAAGCTAAAATTTAAATAAAAACAAAACAAACTCACTGTGAAGGATTGCTGCCATAGCCACCGGGAAGGGTTGGCGGAGGTCGCCTGGGTCTTCCCAATTGCCGGCCCCAAGCAAGGCCTTGGCAACCCTTGGCGAGGGCTTGGTGGCCTAGATTTGGGTGAGGGCGCTCGGCCGATCTCTGGCGAGGCCTAGCCAGCCCTAGCTGGCCCTCGCCTTGCTCAGATTTGGGTCAAGGGCCAAGCCCTCCCCCAGATCCGGGCCAGTATGCCCTCGTCGGGGGCCGCTAAGGTCACGCTTGGGGCCAACAAGGGTCGTTGGTGTTTAGAAAGGACCAAGCGACCTTCGTTGGCCCTTCTAGGCAGCTGTGGCGGCGGCCACCGGCGAGGGCTTGGCTAAGCCGTGGGTGAGTTTGTTTTGTTTTTATTTTTTAAAATTTTTTTAGCTTTTTTATTTTTTAATCTAATGTAGTTTGTATTTTTTTTAAATACTTTTTCTGACGTGGCGTTTGGTGGGCGCCACATCATTGCCATGTGTCTTAAAAAAACAATAAATGAGACACGTCAGTGTTTTCCATTTGTAAATTAGACAGTATTAATTTTAAGACTTGATTGAACCTATTTGACAATTTTTAGGAATTGATTGTATTTTTTGCAAGTTTTAAGACCAATTGCACTTTCATGAAAATTTTTAGAACTTTAAGTAAACTTTTCAGCCGTAGAGGGGAGGAAGTTTACCTCTCGAGGCTATAGTGACATTGCCTAGACAAATGGCTTGAAGGTTCGGCCGGATCAAAAGGTTCAATGGTTTGGACAAAGGTGTCATTGGCTCAATTAACTGGAGCGGGTATGCAAATTGAATTGAATTTCACTTGAGCCAAATCCAAATTAATTCGGACCGGGCTTTAAGGCTGGCCCGAATTTAGACCCAACTTAGACTGATAAGGTCCAAGTTAGACTGCCGAGTCAGACGGGATCCCTTGACCCGATCCGAAGTCCATTTTCCAAAATTTAAAAATGATAAAAAATTTAAATTTTCCAAAATTAAAAAATCAAAAATTAGGTTGGAAATGCCTTTTTCTTGTCTTTTAGTGCAATTACTACCCTTGCTTATTTGCACGTTGGTTGTTTTATGTGCCTATTGCATATCTTACTCGACTTTGCATGTGAACGCCTAGATGAATGTTAGGACTTCGATTCATGCCGTTCTACGGGCATATTAGGAGGGTAATTAGAGTTTAAATAGGGGTTGATGACGTTAGTCCACTGCCTTGTGAATGCAAGTGGGGGCTAATAATCATTAACTTTAATCAATAAATCCCTAGTTAATGAAGAGGGTGCTTGGGAAAATTGAAATGCATGTTTACATTCAAAGCCGATCTCGAGGCAATTAGTGATTGAATGAACTTTGTTGATCGTTTGCTTTGACTGATGGCATGTTTTGATTGATGATGAAAGCAAGGACGAGAACTAACATCCATGGTGGTCCAAGGTAGCTGTAGCTTAGGATAGTTAAGACTAGCTTGCCATAATTTTAGGTCTTAATTAGATTATACTCTAAACAATAAAAACCATATAGACTTAGAATCACTCTTTTAGGATAATGTTTAATTCGGCGTAGGTTAGTCTAATCATAGAATAAAATGAGTAGAATTAAGCTCACCATACTCTAAAACTTTTGGGATTTATCTTTAATGTCAAGCTTATGGAGGTTGTTGTCCTGGGACTTATAACAAAGTCATGCATATTTTTTGCCCGACTTGTATCAAGTTTTCTTTTCCGCATTTACTTTGAAGTCATTTCAATACTTGGGTTTTTACTTACTACATTGTCTTTCAATAAATTGGTTGTTTATTGCTTTCCTAGAATAGGGTAGGACTCTTTTAGACTTTCATGAAAATAACCCTACAAAATCATGTTGCATGATCACTTAGCGGTTTGATCTTTTAGGCTCATAACTGATAATCAAGATTTTATGACCACCTTAGATATACTCTTTCAAGTTAGTGGTACCGAAAGGGTGCTAATAGAAATGTTAGCGTAAACAAGTCCCCAAACTTAGAATCTCTAGTTGCGTAGGAATCATAATGAAATTTTCGCATTCCGATTGGGTGTGCTAGCTTAGCTTAACAATGGATAGTGGTGACTCCAAGAAAAATATATAGGTTGTTTAAGATTTTAAAAATGATCCTGTGTCATGTGAGGTATGGGCTTAGGAAGAGTCCTCGTTTGTGATCAATGGCCCGCTTGTGGTGTTATAAAGTGATAGTCTATCCGAGATCATTACTTGTACATACCATTCGAATCATCTCATAAACAATTATCTCTGAACCCATCCGAGAGGGCATGACCCTTGAAGAACAGGCCGCGACAATTGATTTCTTTGTTTTTTGAATTTTAGTCATGTTCATTTTTCCTTTTGGCATAAATTCTACTTTTGACTTATTTATCTATTGTAAATTTTGTGGCTCGCACATTTTCTGGTCTTAGTGGGGTTATGTCCTTTTTTTTCACTTTGAGTGATGAGTTAGGTGTTTTCGTTGTAAATTTTTGTTAAAGAAGCTATTGAGTGGTTGTGGTAAAGATATTATCAGTAAGTGCTCAAAGTTAGACAAATTAATACTTCATCCATGTCTTTCGTTCCATAAAGTCAAGATGTGGTACATTTTAGGTGAGAAATATTTCCTAGGTGGATCACGGGCAATTATATATCTCAATCTCATATCAGTTGAACGTGGTGGGTTCTATCCTAAAAACAAATGGTAGGTTGTACATCCACTCATGAGATTAGACTTTACATAACAATTGGTTCAATATCGGTTCTAATCAATTAATGGTTAATCCCCTACAAACAATTGGTACACTCGCATGGGAAGGATAATTACCGAATTAGTATCAAATCTATTATATGGATACCAATTCAAATTTAGATATTCCAATTTTACCAATGTAGTCTTTCCGGCAACTTGCTAACATGACGACCACTTATTGTTGGGCATCTTACATGGCACGCTAACATGGACAACTTTACTCTAAAAACGATGTATTATGTGAACTACCGTGTCAGTTATTTCCCACGGTAATTGGTTGGAAAAATTATATTGGAATTTTGTCCAAAAGTTTGAGACTACATTGTCAAAATTGGAAAGTTTATGACTAAGTTGACATTTGCACAATAGATTTAGTAGTGATAATCCCACATGGGAATAAGGAAAAGAATGGAATTTTGAGAGATGGACAGTTATGGATTACAGCTTAATATCTTCTGGACATTTGCTCTTTAAGCGTACTCATTTTGTTTGTCTCTTGGTTAATGGTAGCAATTCCAGATTCTAATCTCATACAGTCACAAACACATACTGATGCTATTGACAAATGGTTGCACATATGTAGGCAAAAGAAATAATACTACTGTGATAATCGTCGCCGTTGCCGTTGCTGTTGGCGTAGGCGTGGTGCTTCTCTTCCTTGCTCGTTTTATCAAGTGGAGGAAAGCAACCAAGACGTACGAAGTCGTCCAAGGATATCAAAGCGGTATGAAATATGTACCTGTGCCATATACTTGGATAGGATGATGAAACCGTATACGCAGAGCGCACTGTTGTACGCTTTTGGTGAAATGACCATCTCATGTTGTTTCGCTATGTAGGCCTAAGTGACATTACAAACGCCGAGTCCTTGCAGTATGATTTAGCCACCATAAAAGCCGCCACAGACAATTTCTCTCATCAAAATAAGTTGGGTGAGGGCGGATTCGGTGAAGTTTTCCTGGTATGGTTAGTCAGAAACTAGATTGGGAATCGCTTAAATATACTTGAAAGATATTTAGTGTGAAAAGATTAGGTAATTTTGAAAAGTTGTCATCAAGAGCTATTCATTTGTATTAGACATCAAAATGCTGACCTTCCAGGGTAGGCTTCCAAATGGACTACAAATAGCCATGAAGAGACTATCTCAAGGCTCAGGACAGGGTGCTGAAGAATTTAAGAACGAAGTCATACTGGTAGCGAAGCTTCAACATCGAAACCTTGTGCGGCTGCTTGGGTTCTGCTTGGAGGGTGAAGAAAAACTGCTTGTCTATGAGTTTGTGCCGAACAAAAGTCTCGACTACATTCTATTTGGTACGTTGTGTTTCAATATATTCCAAAGCTGTTGCTTTCCCTGTTGAGGGAGTATGTGATTAGCCCCATAATTATGTAGAAAGTTGGTTTGCATAAAATCTATTCAAGAGGATATATTAAGCGAAGATACCCGCATCTGAATGGTTTATACATGCAGATCCTAAAAAGAGCCGACAATTGGATTGGTCGAGACGTTACAAAATAGTACATGGAATTGCTCGAGGATTGCTTTATTTACATGGGGAATCTCAACTTCGGATCATTCATCGCGATCTAAAAGTGAGCAATATCTTGTTGGATGGCGAAATGAACCCAAAGATTGCAGATTTCGGCATGGCAAGGATTTTCGGAGTCGATCAAACACAGGCAAACACCAATAAAATTGTGGGGACTTAGTAAGTATTGTTATGCTTTGTTCTCTACATTTTATGCTTATATATACATATATCGCCGATGTATAACGGTTTGCAGTGGTTACATGGCACCCGAGTATGGAATGCATGGGCAGTTCTCCGTGAAGTCCGATGTCTATAGTTTCGGTGTCCTACTTCTTGAGCTCATTAGTGGTAAAAGGAATAGTTTCTTCTACCAAGCAGACGAAGGCGAAGTTCTCGCTAGCTATGTAAGTTGCACAAATTGATTATAACTAATAAGAATATTGCTAAACAAAGCAGACTCGACATACTGAAATATTTTCTTCAAATGAACTGTTTTTTAGGCTTGGAAAAATTGGAGAGACAATATGCCATTGGAAGTGTTAGATCCAGCTATTGGAGACTCTTATTCAAGGAATGAAGTTCTTAGATGCCTTCACATTGGTTTACTATGTGTTCAGGAAGATCCAGTGGATAGACCCACAATGGCAAACATAGTCCTTATGCTGAACAGCTACTCTGTTACTCTTGTACTGCCCCAACAACCGGCCTTTTTCCTCCAGAGCAGGACGGAGAGACAGATGAAACAGCTTGAATCAGACCAATCCACCAATAGGTCTATGCCATTGTCGACCAATGAAATGTCGGTCACCGAAATTTACCCCCGCTAAATGGTGATGTGAGTGGAAATCTTTCTTCATGATAGTCTCACAGAGACCTCGATCATAAGAACCTTGGCACTCCACTGAGATCATTAGTAAACAATGAGCAAACACCTTTGTCCCGTACATCTAAAGGTACAAAGTGTACTTTCTTTGAGGCGAATCGTGGTTTGACCCACTAGGCACGGTAGGCTGTTTACATTAAGATATATATGTGTGTGTGTGGTCTTATTGGATCATGGAATATAAGTTCTTCCTCGTCTGAAGAAATAATTAATTGAAACGACTAGAGTTTTATTAACTATCTTCTTTTACGATTCTTTTCATGATATATGAGGAGATATATCAGTTTGTACGTAATTCACACCGCTTTATTTTCTGTCACGTTTATTAGAAATCGAAGTCATAAACCTCACCTCCAGATACATTCCTTTGCATGATCTGCCTAGTTACTCGATTATAATGGTTGGTGGTTGCTTATGATGGAACGGCTCGCAACTTTACGTGGATCCTTCCGTCCATATATTTCCTCATGTGTACACAAGAATAAACATCTCTCTCTCTTCCCGATCTATACACGGCCACAAGTCCACCGATGCCGGAGCCACTTCAGCCAAACTCCATGACTGATTAGCTCTTTCACTGCCATCATTCGTATGTCTCTCTCAATCCGAGAACTTAGCCATGGCCTACAAGGAGCGGAGCTAGTAAACGAGGTTCCCTATGGATGGCAAGGGCTCAAATGATTCTAGCGCTGAGTAGCAAGACGGAATGATGGGGAGGGAGGGAGGGAGAGTGCAAGATATTAGGCCGATGATCGGACAAGTCTAAATTAGATGAACATGCATTAATGTTTTAACATCCTATGAAGGGTTGACAGACAAAATAATGTATGATTCCATGAACTCAGTTCACGGGAACCTATTTCAATTAATACAATTGGATTATATGAGTCTCACATAAAATCTCCTTAACGTCATCATTTGTCATTGAGATACATGAGTTACATATTTCTTGACTTTTGTTGGTCAAGTCGTCATTCAACAGGAGAATGCAACTCACACAATTGACCTCGTCAATGGTTCCCGTTCATCTTTTTCTCTTTCCCCACTTGAGTTTTGATGGCGTAACCAATAGAGAGTGAGCATAGATCATTTGAACGTCCAAAGTGCATGTGTTTGGCTTTCGTATTTATGACACATTCTAAGTCCCAAAGTTTTAACATGTGACAATTATCCTCCAAAGTTTTTCGATCGATCAATACAGCAACAACACAAAATCTTAAAAGCCCATGCCTCTTAAAAGCCCATGCCTCTCTCTCTCTCTCTCTCTCTCTCTCTCTCTCTCCACCTCCATCGTGACTCACACAGCCCTTGTTAGAATAGTATAAAATTGATGGTTGAAGATTTGAGCACGTTGGCTGTTGAGCTCAGATTTGGTTGTTAGTATTCTTCAAAGAATGCCTTGATTTATGGTGGGTGTCAGAAGAAAAAAGAAAATGAATTGGTGAAGCATGATTTATGGTAGACGCTTGAAGAAGATTAAAGACAAAAAAACCTACAAAATATTTAATGATGAAAAGCTTTTGCAGCATGAAGACAAAGAAAGCTAACAAAGCCCACTGAAGAGTTCTCCACGCGAATGCATTTATTGTGTCTTTTATCTGACTTTGTTTGTGTGCATTTATGGTTTTTTTTTTCATTTAATGTTTGTCAAGTTATGTACATCTCCAACCACTATAAAAGGTTGTGAACTTCAGATTTGTAGTTACACTGAAACGAAAAGCATTTGCATTTCAATAAGTTCTTCCTCCGGTCTTTATTTGTGACTTGTTCAAATTTCCAAAAATTGTCATTGTTCTTTTTGTATCCAACATTTGGTATTAGAGCTACAAATGACATCCACCAGTTCCATTTAATTGCAACTTCTAAAGTTGAACGGAAGAAATTTCAAAAACTGATTTGTCCAGATGAAGATTCTCTTCAAGTTGCAAAATTTGTGGAATCTAGTGGAAAAATAGCTACACCGAAGTGGCCGATGCCGAAGCATTTGAGGCCTTAAGAAAGGAGGAGAAAGTTCTTTGGTGGAGTACCTTAGAAAGATCAGAAAGCATTGTATGTGATCTTTCAAGCTGTAAAGGAAACGATATTTGAAAAATATCGAGTGTTGAGACCGAGAATGGAGTTTGGGATATTTTGCAAAAATCCTATAAAAGGGTAAGTGTATTGGAAGTCCAAAATTGGCCAAAAAGTTTTACTTTATAACTCTTTTCTTAAACTTTAGGGAAGTTACAGTCTTGATGGTTTGGTCCTTTCACAGTCACACATGTATTCCCATACGGAACAGTTGAAGTTGCACATGACACCAAATGCACATTTAAGCTAAATGGTCAACGTCTCAAGCCCTACTTTGAAGGTGGTTACAACAAGCAGAAAACCAGCATTGAACTTCGTCCTCCAGAATAGTAATATCTGAGATAGTTTAGCTGAAAACTATAAAGCATGAGCTTCTTGAGAGCAACCCAAGCATTTTCCAATATGTTTCTTCATTAATTTTTAAGTTCGTTTTAAAAAAATAGGATTAATTTTTCTTTGCTTTATCCAAGTTAAGTTTCATATTGAGGGATTACTTTTTGGGAGTTTAGTCATCAAGGCCATCTATGGACACATCCTACAACAAGGGGAATTTTATTATTTCTGTTTTTTTTTCTGCATTGAGGACAATGCTTCATTCAAGTTTGGAGGGGGAGACAAAATTTTCGCTAAATCTGAAAAAAAAAATTGTCATGATTGCATTCCTTCTTGTGAAATTTTGCGATTCTTAGGAAACTTTAAATTGTTTTTAAACTTGCAACATATGTGTGAGTTAATTTTGATTCTGATTATGTTGATCCACTTACTAAGCACTAAAAGTCGTTAATTTTTTAGTTGTGTGTACATCTAGAGAACAATAATGTGAAGTATGTGTTTTTCTTAGATCTCACACAAATCTTAGAATTTGTTTGATTGTCTCTTGAGGCGAAATCCTAAGCTACATTTAACTGAGTAAATGATTTAGGCCAGTTTTTGATCGATTGATCATTTCAAGCTAACCCTGTTTATTTATCCCTAGTCACCCCGTCGAGCCTTAATTCTTTTCTAATATTTCATTGACACCCACATATTTTTATCTTACCTTTTACCAAATTATATCATTGTCCCAAGGTTCATGAATATGTTGATTTTTAAGGATAAACGTTTATTTGAGTATAATAGCAATTTGGGAGGAAGGATAGAGCATGGAAATAATTTGATTGCTATGGTTGTTTGGGGTGTATCATTTCAAAAAAATAAAAAAAAAGAAAAAAAGAAATTGCTTTTAGGGTTCCTTATCCAGCTTTCAATTGAGTGAGCCTTTTGGATACTTAGTGGGCTGGAAATGTTTATGTTATGTTAGAAGGGACCTAGGGAGGAACTCCAACATAAAGCAATGAACAAAAAAAAAAGAACAAAGAAAGAATGATGATAAGTGGTGGTAGAAAGATTATCTTGACTGAGTGAAATTGGGGATAGTGGCATGGGCTCTAATTAGATCCTAGAAATCAAGGTGTTCATGGGTGATTTAAGCTTAAAGTTACCGTTAGCCCAACCTTACATTGCAGACTAAGGAAAGTCCTATTGATTTTTAGTTGGATGATTAGCTTACATTGGTGGAGAGAGAAATGAAAAGCAAATCTATGAGATTTGATCATAATTATAGAGAGTTTTTGAGAGGTTGCATACCAGTGTAAACTTATCTAGATTGCATATAATTCGAAAAGATGAAGACACACAAATTTGGATCACATAGTTAGAATTGATCTTAACTAACTGATCAATTTCGTTGTTTGGATAAAATTTGTGTTTTTCTTTGTCTTGTGATTTCGAGCAATTATGGAAGGATGTCATGTAGGGGGTTGTTAACTTAAGTATGTATTTATCTTGCTTTTGCTCAAGGACTAGCAAAATGTTAAGTTTAGGGGTTTGATAACTCTATTAAAATAGAGTTATTTGACCTCTTTTAGGCAACAATTAATCCAATATTTGCGAGAAAATATTTGGATTTCCTTCTATTTACTCAAATTTTCCTTGTTTATAAAGTACGATGAGATATGAAGAAAATAAGGAAAATATGGCAAAAAGAAGGACAGGAAATGAGAATTCTGTGATTTATTTCCTAATTTTATGCGAAAAATAAGCAATTGCCTTGTGTTAGGAGTCTTGGATGTTGTCCTATAAATATTATAACATTGAGAGCATAGGGGGACGACCAGTTTTTTTTTTTATCATTCTTTTTTTCATTGGTTTGAGAGTTTTTCAAGTATTTTCAAGAGAAAATAAAAAGTGGTGACATAATTCTTGTTCTTTGATTCAAGATATAGGGTTTAATTTATATTTTTGTTTCTTCTTCTATTATGTTCTAGTTTCTTTTTGTTAAGGCTACAATGTAACCTAACCATAATGATATGAATTTCATGCTTTTAATGTTCTGCAAGTAATTTCATTTACGTGAGTTATATATTATTGTGCTTGATGCCTTCAAGCGATTGTTCACCATTTGAATGATCTGATATGCATATTTAAGACTGAAAAGTGATAATATACAATTGCTCCTTATAATATATAACCATGAATTAAATGTGGATAGAAGTATACTATGTTATTTTTGTGGCTTTCGGTGAGAAGGTGGTCCAAAAGATTTATTATAAATCTGGGATATTCACAGATTTTAATGCTCTTATGTTAATTTAAATTCACATAGAGATATAGTGAATTAATAAACTGAGTATGTTTGTATAAGATAGTAAATAGACTAAAAAATTTCGGTGACACATGTTTGATATTGTTCCTGTATGCATAATAATATGAAATTCACATTTAGTGGTTACGGTGAAATTGGATGCTCTAACGTATTTATTTGATTGATTAACTGCATTTAGTTCCGAAATTTTGTTTCCAAGATTGTCAATTTTCATTTATCTCAATTTTATTTTGATATGTTAAATAAATTTTAGAATTATTTAATTTTTAATATTTAATTGGTTTATTAATCATCAATCTCTGTGAGACGATATTTTCTCATCACTATATTACTTGTTCGACACATTCATTTGTATTTAGAATTTTACGAACATGTATGCC